TGTCTGTACATTCTGCATTTCATTTTTCCTGACTACAGTACATTGTTTAGGATCTTCCCTCCCTCCTCCAGACTTGCCCAGAATAATATTCTGTGCATTGTGTGATGAAGTTGATGATACTAGTTCACAAAAATGTTTGCAGTCTGAAAATGGTTAGCTTTTCTGGTGCCACAAGATTTTTTTTGTTTTTGTTTTTAAACGATCAGTATTTGACTGATGTGCACAATTTAATTGGAGGTATATTGTCGAATTGAACCATTGCCAATGAATTACGAATCCATGTAGGACTGTAAATTCAAACAGGAATTCAGATGTAAACCTACATATACAGAAATCAGCTGTAAGGCTCACACTAGCTACAGAAGCAGGAGAATGCAATAAAGTTATTTTCAGGTGTGAGAGTGACCAATTTTAATACAGTGTAATTTGCTCAGCAGTGCATTAAAATTGTGTTATATTGCTAGATTGTTAAGATTCACTGCTGAAGTTGTTTCTCGGTTTATTATAAAAGAACGTTGCTTTTTTAAAAAATATGTTAAAAACTGAGCCAGGATAACTCTGTAGTTATTTGCTTACTTTTTAAAAATGTAGAGTGGCAGGTGATAAATTAATCCTAAATTGCTACTGCAGTTTTTAAGACTGCTATGCTGTATTGAATGACAATTGCCTGTTGTCTCTTTCAGCATTTAAAAGAAATTTGATGAGGATTATGCTGGTGTCTTCTTGCTGAACTGCGTCTTGATTTATACAGTGGTCACACAATATCATGATAGTATTGAAAGAGTCTTAATGTTTTCAGTTTTATCTATTTTTTTAGTAGCATTTTATGACGTGCTGTCTAGAATTCCTAAAACTTTGCTTTTTTCTAATGGCAGAAGATGCACTCCATGGCCTAAATGGCCCTTCTGAACTCAATGAATTCTAAAACTTCTAAAAAGTGATTTAAAAGCTATATTGTAGCTTGACCCTAGCATTCAATATGTTAGATAATTGTCTGCAGAGAAATTCTTACATTTTTTTCCTGTCAGTTCTTGTTCAATCAGATGATAAAGAATTTGGTTCAGGGTTTTCTGGCAAAGGAGAATGTTTTAGAGAATTTCTTATGGAAGATATCCAGCCTTTCCATTTGTTAAGTTGTGTCAGGCCTAGCCCAAGGAACTCCAAGAGACAATGGTAATTCAGTTCAGCTATGTTTATTAGCTACAACCTCTAGCAAGAATCTTCCCAGACTAAAACCCCAGTTCCCAAAGTCCTCCAGCCACAAAAAAGCATTTTTTCAAACTAAGACATTTTATTAAAAGGCATAAACAATCTTGAACTGCTGTTCACTTCATTCAGCATGGACTGGCTAAATTGTAGAATTTAAATTGGGATGAGGCTGATGGAGAGGAATGGGAAGGGAAGGCTGGTTAAATCAGGCATTCAGGAGATTGAACTACCCACACAATGAGATCAATAGACACATCAATACAGTCAGATAGATTCCCAGGGAGGACAAAACACAAACTGGTTGTCATGTACTATTCACTGCTCAACCTGCTCAAATGTATTATGAA